ATCGTGCATTTTTATGCTTCTTCACCACGCTAACCTACCTCGTTTTCATAGACGCCCAAGACACGAGGCAGTTTGTCATCACCGTTGTAGCAATTGAAATGCTCCCTGCGAGCCATAACCACCTTCCTCGACTGCACTGTGTCCATCCGTCCGACTCGTGTCTCCATAGCATCTAGAATATATCCAATGGTGATAGTGCGGTTGCCACTTCCCGGCCCTCGAATTTGGCTGAAAGTTATTTATCTTAGATTGCCGCATGAATATCTCTCGTGTCGAGCTTTTTCTCTCACATTTCATCATATAACTTGTCCGAGTGCACATAGCTTACTGCAAACACCATCTCCCTGATCCGCCTGTGCACATGCAACCAAAGTTCTTTCTTCTAGCCTCTTACATTTGCTCCTGATGGAGGCATTTCCGTATTTCAATGTGCATGTTATCCAAATTATGAATTTCAAAGGTGTCAGCCTTGCTTCCAGTGCTTTGCTCCTAGCTCTTCTCAACTCCTCAGCCATTCCTGGCCCATTTGGTTTCAGTTTGTCTCATTCGCCAACTACCTTCCCATGCCCATTCTTGTGGCAATCCTGCACCACATAAGTGTGCAATATGACCATTACACTATACTAACATAGGTGAGCTCTCACTACAGTCAAAGCTATGCGAGCCTGCATTTCATTGTTGACTTGTCATTGTGGCGTTCGGCAATGTTATCCCAATCTTCGACTTTACCCTCTCGCCAAACTAGTTAATATGTGGAGGAGTGGCTGGAATTAGCTCGTATTGCTGAACAAGATGCTGCGTCGCCAGATGCGTACAACTGGCCCTTCATCTGTGACTCTGTTGGGGAAACATGCCAGCCAAAGTCGGCTGCGGTCTGGAACTCGTGCATGACCCACCCCCTCCTTCCTCTCAGTTCCTCGTATTTTCACTTTCGATTTTCACTGTTTCTCTAGCGCGCTGGTGTACTAGATTTCTCTCTTGCTTTCGGCGTTCAGTGTCCACTCTGCCGATCTCCAAATTCATATCATTTATTATTGTGTCCGATGCGCTACCTCGTGTAGTACTGACTACAACTTCCATTGGTGAATCATCAAGGGTGTTCCAACCGCCTTTCCATTATTGTCCGACAAGACCTCCTGTGTGGCAGTACAGTTCTGCTTATGCATCATGCTGTCCCATGAAGCACTCATGATTGTTGCGCAAGAAAAATTCCTCCCAATGTTCCTGCTTTGGAGTAAAAACAACTTTGTCGTCGGCAGGTTTCGAACCTACGCAGTCCAAGAGGAGCAGATTTTGACTCTGTTGTGGTAACCACTTGGGCAAGGATGATGACTCAGGCTGCGAGGAAACCATCCATGAGTGAATGTCAAGGTGTGTTCCAATAGAAAAAAAACTGTCGTTCGGCAGGTTTCAAACTTGCGTAGTCCAAGAGGGACAGATTTTGATTCTGTTGTGGTAACCACTTTGGTCAGGACAAAGTCGAGATGAACCTCCGAGGAACTGTCCATAAATGAATGTCAAGGTGTGTTCCAATAGAAAAAAAAACTGTCGTTCGGCAGGTTTCAAACTTGCGTAGTTCAAGAGCGACGGATTTTTATTCTGTTATAGTAACCACTTTGGCGAGGACAAAGTTGAGATGGACCTCCGAGGAACTGTCCATCAATGAATGTCAAGGTGTGATAAAAGGGAAAAATCATTTGTCGGCAGGTTTGGAACCTGCGCAGTCCAACAAAGCAGATTGGTACCAGTTGACTATCATTCCTTAAGACTGATTAGACATTGAAGGATGAACGTTGGTAGTTGGCCAGCGTGGCTTCGGGCTACTTAAGTCGGATCAATTTCTCTAATATGAGTACTTACACCCTTTGAACATGCGTCAAATTGACGTCACCAGAATCTCCCTCGAATGGCAAATAATTTTCCTTTCATACATCATATCCATATACATATACATAACACACGACATACGCGAGTAGGTGAACCAGCACCAAAACTCTCTTCACAAACTAATATCCGTCCTCCATAAAATCACCGATGATTGGCACCCTGTTGAGACCAATCAGCTCCCGTCTCCGGAACGATGCCCATTGGGTCACTCGCGTCGACGATGCGGCGGTAACGGCACCCGCGCGTACATCGAGGGGACGACCTTGGGCCAATGCCAGATGTATGTACCATTGAGTGTCTTCTCGAGACCGTGCGACTCGTCCATGTCAAAATGTATGGGACGCATATGCTCTGGGCAGCGTTGGCTGCGAACAGGCGCCAAGGGATAACGATTGATCATTCCACGGAGGACGGTGGGGTCCTGCTCATGCGAAATCTCATCGTATTTGGAGTAAGGCCAGTAGGACTGGACTGGCGCAGGAGTGGGACGGCGAGGACGAGATGGAACTTCCCGAATATTTATGCGTGAGCTGTGTGCGGACCGCGAGAGTACCGGATGTAGGGAGCGGGGGGTAAGAAGAGTGGGAGCGGGGGGAGGAGTAATGTTCGAGCGACTAGTGCTTGACTTGGCGCGAATACGTTCTGCCAGTCTGCCACTGTGAGTGTGATCGTCAGGCGTCTGCAGTACGTCAGCAGAAGCTTGATCAACAGGGGCCTCATGCCTCTGCTTTCTGCGGGGAATGGAGGGGCAGGCTTGACGACCACTTGCACCCGAATTATGGATAGGCACTTGGGACCTTTGATTCTTTGAGTTCAAGAGAGCGCTCTGAAACCGCTGCGAGGGAGGCCCTCGGTTGGTTCAGGGGAATATGGAAACTTGGCCAGCAAGTCAGCGCGCGCATCAGAGTTCGCGCGAGTCGGCCCATGGTAGTAGGTGTGTTGCGACAGTTTGCCATGATAGATCTCGAGCATCCCCGGAGCTTGCTCGACGTAAAACGATGTCGGACTTCTTAAGGGGGGGTTTTACCACAGTATGCGTGTTTGGAAGGATCTGCACGAGGAGGCCTCCCTTGTGAAGAGGATTCATATGGCATCGATTTGGAGTGCTTAAGCGACGCCGTCTGGTCGTCATTGGACCTAAGGGGTATTTATTAGTATGATAACAATGAGTAGAACACGAAAACGGTCGACTCACCTTTGGAACATTCTCTTGAATGAATTCATAGTTGATGTAGAAGAAACAAGGGGATGTAGAGTTGCAATGAATATAAGGCGGTGGTGTGTGTGGTGTGTAGGGCATCTGCATTTCAGTATATAAGGGTTGGGCTACTGTGGACGCACCACGGCATCCACAACCACAACCACGAACAATTTCTCAATATCCGAAAATGATACAAGTGTGGATGCTCTTGTGAATGCTCCGATTGTCTGTCTAAAGTCAAATAAATGTCATTGATGTCGCCCCATTTGCATCACAAAGGTAGAATATCGACAACTAACCAACTATGGGGCACAGTTGCCACAGGCTGGCCCATTGAATGCATCACGCGTCCTGTTCATTATTATCTCGAGCTCATAGCTTGCACACGCGATAGAGATTACTTAAGATGACCATCAGCACGCTGATTCAGATGTACGGGACACAACGACGTGTACACAGACGTTGAAAGGAACAGCTAGCATCCTCCTTTAACAGTCTCACTTGACAAAACTACTCAGCGTACCTTTAAAGCACAGTACACCCGACCAACTGTATTTCAGCCTAAGCTGCTCAACATCAATATAGGTTAATGCAGTGTGCTCTGACTTGCATCCAAAACGATCTGAAGGTGATGTAAACAGTCAAGCAATTATTGATATTAATTCCAATGGAATTACACACATGATCAATATGGCCTCCGGTATGCCTGGAGGATGGAGTTGGAACTTATCATAGCCCGGAAAGATTCTTGGATTTATGATACCTATAAACGTCGAGATACTCTAGCTCGCATAGGGAAGAGAGTTACCGGTTTTATGGTTAAATCTGCGACTCGGACTTACTTTACTCCAACAGTACAATCCGCATATAATCTGTACGCCTGTGCACCATCATGCACGAATACCGACAAGAGTTATGGTCGCATCCAGAGCTGCAGAAGGACACAATTACAATGAGCATGATGGTTTTCACTTTGGAAAGAAATTATGAACTTTACAGGTTGCCGCCTGTAACAATGCGCCGGTCTTGTGCGGCGACTCGAAGGTGGATGGAAATACATTCAAGCGACGCAGTTTCGTTCGGTGAATATTTCACCATGTGAGCTTTGCCTTCCGACTCCCTCAGGCTGGCGATATTGCAGAGTATGTTTGTTCTTATTAGGAATGGAAGCTCAGGTGTCCTCATTTGGCATGAGCATGATGGTACTCAGGGGAGACGCAACAAGCAAGGGATACAATTCTCAAATCCAGTACGTAGCTGACAGCGTGATATCGTGAATAATGGTTTACAAAAGTTGAATACAAAGGACTATAGTGATGCTAAAATGAAAGATGATGAGGGAGTTGCAGAAAGATTCAGAAGTATACGGCCTTCAGGCTTGGATCACCCCTATGCTGTCCCACTCCATGGGAGGTTTGTAATCCGGCATTAGGCTACTCGCACGCTTAAATCTCTTTGCCCATGCATCCTCCTCACGTTTCAGCATCGTCAAGAGGTTGTGTACTGGCGGACTCGATTCTGCGATGCGAGGTAGTTCGAATACACGGTGTCAATGAGTTGCTTGATGAACAGCGTATCCCCCTCGTCGTATTCCAAGTTGATTCCGTCGAGGCCCACCTTGTGCAGGCTTAGTGCTCGCCACCAAGTAAAACAAGGAGATCATCGTACTACATGCTGTTGCTGGTGCCCAGTACTTTCTACCTTCAAAGTTTCACAAGGCAACACAGGTACGCAGTTCGGGCTGCTGGCCCCGACGTCATTGGGTGGTGATGACAATGATAATGATGCCATTTACTCGTTTAATGGTAAGCTCAAGTAGAAAGTCGATGAGTTATTGATAAGATTTTTGATCGGAGCATTAGTGCCAACGGCGTTTTTGAAGTGCCGCTTGGAGTTAGTCGCACACGTTGCAATTGGCGGGAAAGCACAAAGTTCACTATTCTATAATCCTTGATTCTACTACCCCATGTGCATGCACTCAACGTGGGTGGTGTGGAAGAACAATTGGCGCACCAAACGCGATGCTCACGGTTGAAAGCCGCTGCATGAGTTAAAGTTCGCCGGCAAGGCATCGACGCCACGACCGTGACGATGGGCCGAGTCACTCATAGCATATGAGGTTTGTACCGCGGGTCCACATTCAGCTGATGAGCGGCCCGAGAAAATTGCGATGGTGCCTGCTCCGTAGGCCATAGCAGCATCGTCCGAGCTGCAGTTACTCGCCCCTTGCCCCGGAGTTCCAGCCCGCGGTTGACCAATGCCTCTAGAGACGTCTTCGATGCTAAGTAGGTTTGCGTTGCCATAAAGGTGGTGATTAGGAAACAAGGGAAGATGCTAAGCATAGAGTGAGTTCTCTTGTGAGACAAGCAAGTTTTTGAGTATTGAAGACATTAATACAAATTATAGTAAACTCGAGGAGCACGTGGCTAGCACTAGCTACACAGCCCTTAGGTTTACTGGCCTGTGAAATGAACACGCACCTTACCGGACAACTTATGCGAATAAGTGCGTACGATAGCTATAGGACTTGTTCGATGCTAAAATTAACATTGACTGGCTCCACTTACAGTCAGTGCCTCCCATTAGTGATTGGAAAGCTGCGTGGCATCTGTAAAATACTTCTCGTGAGTCTATTCCTGCATGCATAGTCGCGAAGCCATCCTGTGAGTTAGAATTTCCTAAGCTAATCAAGATGAGCCCGTGGACTCACCAGCGATTTTACCAGTTAATGTATCTGGCCCATAATCTTCCTGAATTAAGACACCAACCATGGCTTCCCCGACCAGGGAACAGAAGCCCACTGTAACGCACCGCCAGATGATGCGAAGTCATACACATTGGATACGCGGTGTTGCGCATATGCCATGCGGACGACGCATTATTCCCGCATGTAAGCAGCAACACCTTCTGATGACGGCTACTTCCTACGTAAGTGCTGGATCATCGATCATCAACAACACCGAGCAGGGACATCGCTGTCACGGCTCACACGTTCGGGAGCCAGAGCTATTAGACGCCCGACTACCGGCATACCGCTGCATCCACTGGACCTCAAAGCAGATAGCATCTGTTCAATACAACGAAGTCTTTGGAAATTCAGCCTGGTGATGAATGCTCTTGTGCGCGTCGTCGCACGTCGTCGTCGTTTCGTCAAATCTAAACATCCAGGCCCAGCTAAGGCGTCATTTCGACGGTCTTGCGGCGCATGACGATTGACACGGATACAATGACCGCTTCGGTCAATGGCATGGCCTGCTGCACCACGCCTTCTAGAAACCTCACCATTACCGCAATGAACTGCTTCTTTGACTGCACGCTAGCATCACGTATGGTGCGCTCCCAGAATCTGTCAGTGGGATAAGTCCCAATGCTACATTAGATAGCGAAGCACTCACTGGCGAGCGATTTCCCCATCGACCCATTTTTCTTTGGGCGCAACTCTCATAAGACGGCGTTATTGTACTTGCGGACATTACCTTGCTGTGACACATCTGAGTATTCATCTATGACATAAATGTTCAGCGAACAGCACCAGTCGAATGTGCCCAGTAATTCCAGAGCTCTCGAAAATATTGTTTTAGGTGCTGTGTGGTTATACGAAAGGCAACCTTCCATTGCACTCAGAGCAAATGAAAATGGACGCACTCACCTATATTCCTGACAAGAAGCATCTTCGGTTGTTGGGCTGGGGCGAAGTACATTGCAGA